TCTCTGTATGTATGTATGTGATGGTTGTTGGTAGTATTGTCGTTGTTGGTACTGTAGTTGTTGTGGTAGCCGTGTGTGTGGTGAGCACTGTGTTACTGATAGCTGTTGCTGGCATTGCATATGTAGTGTAAGTTACAGTGTATGGTGCTTGTGTCTTTAGTGGTGGTTGTATCTGTCGTGATGGATGTGGCCCTCACGAGAACAATCACCACAACGGACACCTCGTATGAAACCTCCATAATGCCTGGTAGCAGTTTACCGCCTGCTAATCCAGTGTACATATTTGGAGAAAACAATCCAGCATTACATGTGCATCTAAAGAGTGAAACGCAAGTGTCAATGGCCATCTGTCGTAGAAGTTTTCTTTCTTCTTTCATCGTCTGCCTAGCCTGCGTGCATACGTCTCCTATTTCCTTTCGCGTGAAAGGAAATAGTAAATGTCAACAAAGAGGCTATTTTCTGCCCTGAAAAAGTCGTGACAGGATTCAACGTAGAAAATCATCTGCAGCGAGGGTGGTACCGACGTTCTGTTGTCACCTTAATACAAAATTGTAGCGATTGTTGCCGTGAAGCCTTAAATGTTTATCAAGGCATATGCTAGATTTGTGCACAGTAGTTGAAAAGAGCTTTCAAATCCTGAATTATTTTATTCTACCCAATATAACCAAATTAGATATCGACAAATAATTTTGAAAGACTTAATTTAAGGTGTAGCAGTGCACTGGGTCTCTTAAACTATTAACTCTCTTTAGATTTGACTGATTGTAAATACACGTAAATGTTAATCGATAGTCACTGTGATAGTAACGAAACAAATAATTATAGGACATTAAACCTCTGTACGTGGTATAAGATTATGTAGGCTTAACAATTCTACATCTAAAAACGTTTAGCAATAGCCTACCTTGAAGTTAAGGTTACCCATAATCTGCAATGTTAATAGCGTAAAATTATTACGCAACTAAGTTATTTCAGAGGGCCAATAACTAAAACCAACCAATCAGATTGCTCCATTGCCGATCCAATATCCTCTAAGTGTTGAATCGGGCACTGTCACGAATGATCCCGCACGATCACTCTTTTGGTAGTCNAAACAAAAACCATTTTTTAAGCCTTGTTTTTAACCAGCCCCGTTGCCATGGCAACAGCACACACACCTTAGCCAAAATGCGAAAATAAACTTTTCTGTGGTTAACCTTGACTCTTGCAAAAAACGAGCGCCAAAGCATAAATAGCTTAAAAGTAATGGTGAATTAGGCGTAGGCTCTTGAAAACTGTGTTCGGCCACCTTAAGGGAACGTAAACCAATCAGAATTCAACGTAAATGATTACGTAAGTAATCAGAGGTGATATAAGCATGCCCTGAGTAGCCCTTAATTCATATTATGCAATAGTTTTTGATCCACTCTAGGTAAGGTAAGCGTATATTTCCGTTTCTTATGTCGCGTTTGCAAACATTTAATTTAAACTGTCCTTCAAACATGAAGGTAAGTAAGTAATCAGAGGTGATATAAAGATTCCTTGAGTAGCCCTTAATTTCATATTATGCAATAGTTATTATCTGGAGTATTTATGTAAGAAACCAAACTTTCCTACATGTAAACAATGCAACTAATGGGCTGATGCATCTTACACAAAAACAACTTTTTTAAATATTCATTTTGAGCTATTTCGATTTTGAGATCTAACTAGCAAAATGAAGAGGGGAATGTCAGGGGCCCACACCGCCATCTTCAGTACTAAGGCTGAGAGTCAACCTTTTCGTACCTTCTTTTTCTTTATTTTTAGAAATTAATCTGCTTCTGTCTCCCGGGAGTTTTGTGCTCTCACTTAAAAACGGTCAAACACAATACAACGGTTCAGTTCACGGCCTTCTGAGAATGTAGCCCATAGGGCCTAGCAACAAGTTCTCAGCAGTTCATTTTATTGTCGCTATTTTGTTTCTGCCCATTGTGAGTTCCATATAGCATTGTCAGTTTTTATGTAAACTGAAGAAAGTCAAACTTTATATTTCAAGCAAGGAACTCAACAGAAGGGGCTTCACGGTATAGTGTTTCAATTAGTTCTTAAGAGAACCAATCATTGGTGAACACGTTGCTATCATTTTCGTGACAGTATATGTTACTATAGCAACAGTATGTTGGTGTCCAAAACCAATTGTTGGAGTTGAATCTATTTTTATGTAAGCACATTCCTTTGTTCCAATAAAAAAATTTACATGAATCTTGCCACGTGAGGGAAAACGCTCTATAAACTCGAGAGATACTTTATGACCTGCGAAAGCTTTCCCAGAGGGGAAACAAAGTGGTAATGCTAAATTGAAAGGTGTAGTAGCCACTGTGAGTTATGTTTTGCAGGATTTCTGCTAACATAATCATCGATTTACATGGATATGTGTATACACGAAACCGTTTTTATTTCAGTTGAATTAGTAAATAAATTAGTGGTGTTACAACAGTACACTGATTGACCTTGAGTCTTCACAACAGCCAGGTCATTATTCTTTTATTGTTTATCAGTCGACATTTTTGTCTGTTAAATCTGGATCGGTTCGTGTGTTTTCTTGGGGACCTCTGGGTTAAGTCATCTACTGATATCTTGAAAATGTTTGGCGTTGTACCCTTTATCATCTACTCGGACTCCAAGGTAAAGTTCCTCCACGAGAACTGAGCTTTACATCCTCGCAATGGCCCAGTTCATTCTGTTTAATTGTTTCTCTACCTTATTGTTTGTCTGTTTACTCTGGGTCGAATTACACATTGAATCTTTTATGTTGCTGTATTCTTTATCATCCACTGGGGCGCCACGACAAAGTTTCTCCTCGAGAACTGAGCACTACATCCTCATAATGGCCCAGTTCATTCTGTTTCAGCGTAGATGGCCATCGACGAATGACAACACTACTTGTTTCGCTGTTTACTTTGGGTCGGGTCCTTCGAGAACGTTTTACAGAGGTTCTTGAACATTTCTGGTGCCGCATCCTTCATCATCTGCTGGGATACCCAGCAGATGAAAAGACTCGTCCTCGAGTACTTTAAAAGATCGGATCATTGACGTATTCAGGAATCATTGGGTTTCCTTGTATCCCAGGCTTAGATTTTTCCATCGTGTTGAAAACCAGCTCTGCTGAAGATATCGTGGTACCATATTGGCTAGGTCTTTTTGAACATTCCAGATAAGATTCCAAAGCATTACACTCTGGTTGTATATCATTTTCACGACCCTTGGCAGGTCCATTGGCTCCTGGAACTGACAGCTCCTCTACGTGACTGTACACAGGTTGCCGTACACAGACTGGACCTTTCTTTTTAGGCCTCAGTTCCTTGTCTAAATCAGGATCTTTATAGACAGCAGTACACACAGGCTGTTGAATACCTTTGTCAGGACCCTTCACAGGTCCCTTGGCAGGTCCCTTGGCTTCTCGAACTGGCAGCTCCTCAACGTGATTGTAAACAGGCTGCTGTACACAGACTGGACCTTTCTTTTTGGACCTCGGTTCCTTGTCTAAATCAGGATCTTTATAGACAGCTGTATACACAGGCTGTTGATTACCATTGTCAGGAGCCTTAGTTGGTCCCTTGGCAGGTCCCTTGACGCCTCGTACTGAGAGCTCCTCCACATGATTGTAAACAGGCTGCTGTACACAGACCGGAACCTTCTTTTTGAACCTCAGTTCGCTGTCCATATCAGGATCTTTATAGACAGCTGTATACACAGGCTGTTGGTTACCATTGTCAGGAGCCCTAGTAGGTCCCTTGGCAGGTCCCTTGGCTCCTCGTACTGAGAGCTCCTCCACATGACTGTAAACAGGCTGCTGTACACAGACCGGACCTTTCTTTTTGGACCTCAATTTGCTGTCATGATCAGGATCTTTATAGACAGCTGTACACACAGGCTGTTGAGTACCATTGTCGCGACCCTTGGCAGGTCCCTTGGCTCCTCGCGCTGACAGCTCCTCCACGGGGTTGTAAACAGGCTGCTCTGCACAGACGCGACCTTTCAGTTTGGACCTCAGTTCGTTGTCAAAATCAGGATCTCTGTAGCCAGCTGATTCCAGGGTGTTGTCATGTCCATAGGCTTGGTGTACCACAGGAACGCTCAGATGAGCACCAGACTGTTGCGTACCATTGTCATGATCTTTTACAGACCCCAGCGGAGGTCCTCTTACCGACAGCTCCTCCATTTGATTGTATACAGGTTGATCAGCACAGACCGGACCTTTCGTTTTGGACCTCAGGTCGCTGTCACAATCAGGATCTTTATAGACAGCTTTATGGGCAGGCTGTTGGGTACCAGCTGTTTCGTCATGGCAATGAGTATTGAGTCCCACAGGAAGGCTCGAGGAAGCATACTCAAGGCTTGGGTTGGGGGGAAAAGGGACTACGTAAGTTGACGCATAATAATTTGCTGCAAAGAAAACAATGAAAGAAATAGGACTTAAAAATAAACTCTCTCAAGAAACGGTTCTTTATCATAAATGGTGTCTTAAATGAACCTCTTGCTTTCGTTGAAAGGTCTTCTCACGAAACCAGCTTTGTAAAGGGACAAAATAAAACACAAAAAGGAAATAAAATGAGAAAGGAATTTCTGTCCAGCTGTACCTGCCGTTATTCCATCGTTCTGTGATCACTCTTTTTATCAACCTATAATAAAGCTCTTGATAAGAATTCCTAAGTAGAAGAATGTTTGTACCGGTTCAATATCCCAGGGTAGCCGTTGGAAACTAAATTTTTTCCAGTTCAATTATAAATTGCCATATAAACAGTAGTCTGAATTTCAGAAGAGACGGCTGAAATTCAGACTATATAACCAGACTTTCCTTTCCTTATTCCTTTCTTCTCCACTTGTCATGTATGGTTCTTTTCATATGTGCATTGTCATTAATTATGTGTTGTTCTTCTTATTGTTGTTGTTGTTGTTTACTCACATGCGTGCCTGATATCTGGTGTCCTGTGCCCACTCTCTGAGCTTGATTGTGTGTTCGCCGATGTTGTGTTCTGAGATAGATACAGGTAAACATTAGACTGAGGACAGGTGAACAGTAAGACCCAGCTGCACACCAAAATTATGGTGACTCAAACTCCTCACCTCTCTTTTCACCCTTTTCAAAGCAGGCAGCTTGGGCTTCTTCAATTTGCTGTGGACAAAATATTTGAAAATGATGGTCAAAAACAAAATATCAACGAACGTCTGCTAACATAGTTGGTATGTATAGCCCTTTGCATCTACTTACATCATTTAAAAATAGCGTTAGTTCACTTGTCACCAATTTTTGACAGAATCGCCTGACACAGCGTCCGTTATCTAGCAGTTTGTTTGTAGCGTGACCTAGCCCCTTCAATCAGTTTGTATGTCACAGAATCACCTAAAGTAGCGTGACATGGCCACTTTAAGACCACTTTGTATGTAACTTAATCACCTTCAAAGTTTCAGGGCACAATCTCAAGACCAGAACCACCTAACACAGAGTGCGTGACCTAGCGCCCTCGAAGCGATCTTGTTTGTAGCGTGACCTAACCCCTTTAATCAGTTTGTATGTCTCGGGATCACCTAAAATAACGTGTAACACAATCACCTACAAAGTTTGAAAGTACAGTGCAGACAAGACGCAAAAAGCGCTTTCGAACGATTGTAACTACAAACAACACCAATTTGATAGATAACGTCGATAAAGAGTATTCTAAGGTACAACTGCGCTATTATTACACGACTAAGTTAATGCAGAGGGCCAATAACTGAAATCAACCAATCAGATTGCTTCATTACCGGTGCAACATTTTCTATGATTTGAGCGGGTACAGTCCTGAATGATCCCGCACGATCACTCTTGAAGATTTTCTGGCATTGTTATGGCTTACGTCTCTAAAAGAATTTGATTTGACATAAACCATTCCTTTCCTTATTATCAAACTCTCTTTCCCTTCTGTTTTGTTTAACATCGACGTGAGTATACGCCTAGTCGGCTCCCAGTCAGAATTGTGCGCTCGAATTTTCCAATGTTTTTTCAGTCCGTGATCGTGGCACTTTTCTAAACATTTTCAGTCGCGCGTGTAAAGACGTTTTTTTAACCAATCTCACTCGAGACCGTGCTAAGAAAACATGGGACCTTATTGTCAAGATTTGTCAAGACCGCTGGGGCAGATATTTTCACAGTACGGCCCTCGCGCTTAGTGAATAAGATATATTAATCTTTCTTTAAGTCAAAGTTCACTAACTTTAGATAACCGCGTCGATAAGCAAAGAAGCCAATGATGATGACAACAGCTAATATGGAAGCGGTAAGTCCAGCGATGAGGCCCTGGGACGAGCTTGAATCATCTGCACCCTGTTCACGGCCAGGACGGGTGGGAGCCTGGAGACGAAAGAGGAAAGATGCATAAATTACTATCAAGACTGAGGTACCTGGTTAATGTATTGAGAAATGATATTCCTCTCTTTTCCAGTCAATTCAAAGCGGCTAATTGACAGCCCAGCAATAAGTGAAGATTTTGATGACATTTCATTAAAGTTAGCTCAGAACGTTTTTGATACTTGCTGTTAAATCAAACACTTCATTCATCAGTCTCTAAGTAGGAGTCAAGTTAGAGAGTTTAGTATATTGATATGGGCCTTTTCTGATATTTGACTAATTCAAAGCTACTTTTGGAAATAGATACGCGTGATTTAGTTCATTGAGAATGCGGCAAAATAAAGAGATCTTATAAATGTCAAATGCAGATAAACTAAATTCTAAATAAACATTGTTTTCTGTGGTTTAATTTAGTGTTAAATAAATTTCAGAGAGGCCCATGACTGGTTCGTATATTCTGCAAAACGTTTAGCTAGCGGTTACAGCTGATAATGCAATAGACGTACTATCAGTCGAACGTCGGAGACCGTCGGTTGAACATCGTTGACTGTCGGTCGAACATCGGAGACTGTTGGTCGAATATCAAATCCGTTCGGCATTGCGGTGTAGACCACAGGCATGGAAAGTGAGGCACTGCGTACAAGTTTCAAATCAATTACCGTGTTTCCAGCCATGCCTGTTCCTTTGGATGGAAATAATTTCAAATTTCTTTCTCCTGGCTTTGTTGTAACTTTGGGTGGTAAAGTGGGTGCTAAACCTAAAATAAAAATATCAATGCCATCGATATATATTTAATCAGCGTAAAAAGCAATATACCTTTTCACGATTTCTGACGCCATCTTGCTTAGGGGCAAACATGACAAAAATCAAGGTAAATGTATTAGGAAAACGGAGAATCTAAGGTCTAAGACCTCACGGAAAATTCGAGTTCTGAAGTATTCGCGGGAAAATTTAAGACATTTGTATGAAAAATTAAAAGTCCAATTCTTCCCTTACAGCAAACCTTTGTTCTTCAAATTTGGTTAAAAAATCTTCTGCTGGGTATCTTTTCCTTGTATATGTAATTCATAAAATACTCAGAACATAAGTCAATAGTATTGGGCATCGAACTTTTTTACTTTTTCCATACATTTACTGTAATTTTTGCTTTGTTTGCCCCCCAGGCAAGATAGTGTCAGAAACCGTGAAAAGGCCTATCACTCGATCTTTTTGCTTCGGGGGACGGGGGGGAGCGGGGGGGGCTCTATGCAAAAGGAACGAGAATAGTCGTTATCTCGTGTGGTTTTACACGTTCAAGACGAAACGCTATATCTAAGGGCTTTTACCTTTAAAGTATCTTTTAAAGCTTTCAAGGTGATAGTTTATATCGATTAGGCATCTACAAATGTCTTCAAAGATACATAAGCATCGGATGACGTCTTAGATGTCTTCAAGGTCACTAAAGCTCCGAACGTTAATTTGTCTGTTTGTGTCGGGGTGATTTCTCCTAGGGTTCAAATAGAGCTTTAGTAACGCCCGGATTGTTCTCCTTTAGACGTTTACTAGAAACTCATTAAGTGAGCCTCTCAGCTTAAAACTACTTTAATACGGTCACCGCCGTTAAAAAGAGCAAAGATTAGTGGACTATAAGTGTTCGGATTAACAGGGCTTAGTACTCGAACTTACATTTGATATTTCCCACATATTTAAACAGCATCCAACGGTTAACAGGACCATTGCAAACCACTCCGAGCTTGATGATTCGTCCCTCTAACAATTTGGTGTTTGTTGCGCCGCCGTTAACCTGCAACGTGTAACAAGAGAGGAAGGCTGTCGCTATGCAAACCCTAAAGATTATGCAAATGACATTAGAAAAGAATTTACACGTGTTCTGCCCTATCACCCTACTCGACCCAACGAGTAAGTCGGGCATGATCTAGTTGTCTGCGGCCCCATGCCCCACTAGGGGCAATAAGGATTGATAATGATGATGATGATGATGATGATGATGATCTAGCTGTCTGTTTCTATTTTCGCCTGGTCTTGGGCTTGGTCCAGGCCAGAGTGATTCCCCATAACTTATTACCATGTCGTGAATAACAATGCCCAGGGCAGAAAATTGCATTATGCTGGAATCAGGCCTCGTACCTCTCTGATCGAGTGAAAACGACAATTTACAATGAGGTTATGGTTAAAGTTTGCTCAAATCCTAGGGTCGAAGGAAGCATATGTTACATTGGTCTCGGTGCTTAACTATACTATGGCATGGAACGACAAGGAATATAGTGTCATTTATGGGATCAGAGAAATCCATTGCAGGTTATCCCCCTCCCGGCCCTCCCCATCCCCCACGGACTTTTGTAAGGTTACCTTAACTATTCCAGTAAAAACCCATGTGTAAGAAACTATAATTTATTTTTGAAGTTCTTGGTTTTTGTATTTTGGGGTAGTTATTGGCAAGTTAGGCTAAGTAGGTTGTTATTTAGGCTCTCAATTTCTATGAAGGACATATAGTTGTTGATTACTAGAAAAAGAAATAAACTTGGGTTTGGTCCTTGAATATGCAATATTTATTCACAACTGTATTATGTAATTTCTTGTAATATAAATTTGCAATCTCAAAGTCACACTCCTTGGTTAAAATGTTTATCATAATTTAACTGTAACCCATATATAAGAAACTGCTTGATCTTGCTTGACTAATCAGGTTCTTCTATTTTTGTATTTTTGTGTTCATATTTCTGTGGTAACTTCACAGCTCATTTAAACCATTAGGTTCTTAGACTTACTTAGGTTGTTACTCTAAAATCTAGTCTCACCCTAAGAAAATAAGGAGGAGAATCTCTAGGATCCCCATCAGGTACGATAGAAAACAGGTTCGTGTTGTGGAATGGAACTTCGGAGCCATTACACCCAAAATGTCTTGAGGATACCACATCAACTCGACAATTTTTCAGACTCGAAGGTAAAGACACTCTCTTGTAGTTGTTGATGTAAACAAACCGTATCGGATAGTTCAGTCTCTCGGTCTCAAACAGGATATAGCGTGTTGGATTATACCCTATGGAATGAATGAAAAATCATGCGTTGAAAAAATGTGTACCTCAAGGAGACTAGTTTGGCTAGGCAAAATATACCACACCTTTTAAAAAATCACTCTGTTTTTCATCGGTCTCTGCTTTTATATTGTACAACGTTCACAAACAGTCAAGAACATTACAGTAGAATTTTCCGGAAGGAGAAACCTTCGGAGCTTCCTTTTAACATCCCCGGGTAAGCTATGGGAGGTGTTCCCTTACTGGGATTTTTAAACAGAGAGTCCCCGTCATGGGTAGGGGAAGGGGGTCTGAGTATCCCTGATATCGTGTTAAGTTTTGGTCGAAATATCCCGTACCCGG